ATGTAATTTCAATAAATTAAAAGTATTTCTATCATACTTTTACACTCAAAAGTCTTTTATTACCGTTGAATGATTGATAGAAATTCTACCGTCCAGCGGCTGATTTTACAATTTGAATCTCTCACCTTTGTTTTCGATCAATAGCATCGTGCATTTCATGTAATAGTGTTCGCTGAACTGTCAAGTATCAGAGCCATGCCTTTGTATTTCAGAATTTAGTTTAAGAATAAAAATTATAAATCTGTTTTAATCTATATACATGGGAAATCACGAATCGTGTTTAAAGGGAAATCACACTATTTATACTACTAATAATAATTCATTGAAATTTTGCATGTAGACAGATCATACTTATTAAGATATTTTAGGCGAAAAAAAAATTGGGGTCACCGATGTTGTTTTCGAGATATGACGTCATCAAAACTTAAAGAATCGCGTTATAACGAAATATAGAAATACCGCTCTAAATTGTTAGAAAAAGACAAACTTATTGAAAAACCAAGTTTAACTGGAATAACAAAAACAGTCAAATGTAACTTATACCTTATGAACATTTATTTGTCTCGGTTTCCTTATTTTTGAAGGCATTTGAACATGTCCCGCCATTTTTAATTGCTATTTATTATAGATTTTTCTTGAAATAAAAAAAATCTACTAATGTTTTTCCCTTCAAACTTCTACATAAGTTGCAGCTTCAGGGAAGATTTTAAAAGCATAAATAAAAAAGGGGGGTCACCGATGTTTTAAATCCGCTAAAACGGAAATAATCTTTATTATTGAATTTTGGCGGGAACTATAACCTTTTAACGTTATAGAACGACGTTGCTGGCATAACAGCATTTCTTGCAATTAAACCTTTTCACTACAAAATATAATATCATTTTGAACATTTTTTAAGGTATTTTGATTATTCATTGATATCTTTATCAATCTATCGAATCGTTAAACATAGATACAATACTGAACAGTTTATTATAAAGTAATTGTCAAAGTTGAAGTCATCTCATTTTTTAAATTGCATTTGTTGTATGGGGAAAACGAATGTTTGCCTCATGCCGTATTATAGAAATAATTTTCGGCTTCCAGATAAAGAATCTTCTACCTCGGAAGACTGAGGGTATCCGGGCTGAAAAGTAAAACGTTCCTTTTAGACTGCAGGCAGAATAATTTCGTTACCATAATTTCACTAGCTTGTCCATTCGCACCGGGAAGATGAAACCTGAAATGCCGTGTTAAAAATGCCACAAACTCAGCACGTTAAAAGAAACCTATTTTCGGTAGGAATTTAAAATTGGTTCCGTAATTACACAACGCTTCATAAATTATTCGAACTGTGGAAACCAAATTTTTTTCTGAGTTCTATCATTACGCACCCATTTTTCATATCTCGTTGCATGTTCATTGTACATAATATGTTCAATGTTCATCGCCTGGATATTAAAACTTTATGTATTACGTATATTTTATTACCGTTCGATTAATCGCTCAACGTTGGTATGTTATGAGAAATACAATGCATCTGATCAAGGATTTGTATAGTGAGAAGGATTGGAATCTCGCGGTATATCGACACTTCTCGCGTATCGTGAGATGTTGCGTACTCGCCACTATAAATTTATACGCGCCTGTTAGTAAATATCCGGTCGAACAGCGTGTATTGCAAGATAATCATTTCTGACTTGTTTGTTGTTAGGTTTAGTTTGTTTTAGCATCTTTGATCAATATTTTGTTTTAATTCGCAAAGATATCACGATTCCTTCTGAGTATGTCATATTGAGGACCTCTCTCAAGCTGGAAAATAAACTTTGATAGTCGTTTACATTTGGCAGTTGCCGAAAATTATCGTAATTATGTTGTTGTTTTTCTTGTGATCTTAATTTGAGTAGCCCAACACATCTTTATGATACTAGTAATAGCTGTTTAAGATAACCCCAAAGAGAAGGTCAAAACAATTATTTATTTTCGCAGCTTGTCTTTGTCCTTTCTTCTAGTATATGAAACTGACCCAACTACCACAAGAGCATTGACCATGTTGACAGTTAAGAGGAAATCATACAGTCTTCAAGAATAGTCAGTCTCCATACAATATCTGTATGTTGATTTTTTATCATAGTTAAGTTATGAATAAATTTAACAGAATCAATATACATGTACAAATGTAAGGTCCGCAACAAATGAGAAATTAAATGAATTCATTGATTTTCAAGAATTCTCGTCTGTTCAAACTGCAAATACATGAGTTGTAACTGGAACTATAGAGGTTTGAGTTCATTGAAGGACTGGCAGGTTGTTAAAAATAAGTTCATGATTATAAACAACAGTAAAATAGAAACTGAAATGATATGGAGTAAATGTACATAGAACTAAATCGCACCCAATACATAGAAAACATAGAAAATTATCAATGAACATGGCTTTTATTCCTGTTCTTCATCTTGACAGTTGATGTAGGGTCTTCAACAATGAATGTATCATTCATATCCTAAAATCAATGGTTGTACCCATGGCAAGTACAAGTAAATTTCCCTTGTGAAAAACATTAGTAACACAAGCAACTAATAGCATTTTACGAATAACTTTGATGGGTTATCTGCTTATTGTGTCATACACCCTACTCATATTGATAATTTGTTTCACATTTTTCACGTTGTGGCCTTTTAGAGACAACTATACAATATGGGTTTTTCTCATTGTTGAAGGCTGTACAGTTGCCTATAATTGCTTACATCCACTTCATTTGAATTTGATGGATAGTTGTCTCATTGGCATTCATACATCTCCTTATTTTTATATTGGTAAAGATTTGACATTTTTTATTAGCATTAAATAAGAGCATATATAAGTGGACAATCATTTCATTTTTAGGGGGTAAGGCAGGAGGATTTCTCTTGGACAGATTATTCACAAATAGTCAATATTATTTCATTTTTATCTGTTGCTCAGATTGTTTATGTCACATAGCTTCATTTTCACTTTTTTACATAATTTTTCATGCTTAATGTGAGGCAGAAATGCAGCAGCTTATTCATTTTCATCTTGAACGGGCAACATTATTTCTTCTACTTATTCTCACCAAGCTAAAATATTCATTCCCACATCACCCCACCTTCATCCCATTGACCCAATAAATCCATTGGTTATCCACTTTCAAAAAGTACCTACATTGTACCTAGAAAACCTATCTTAGTGAACACTGACCTGTCTTCGTTTACATCCTTGTCCTTTGATCTCCTGATAGTTGTCTTAATAGCAATCGTACCACATCTCCTTATTTTTATACCCACATGAAATATTTTTTTACATTCCTTATGAACCAAGCATGAAAGACCAAAAAATGGAACATTGTTACAAACTAAACTATCTGGGAACACCCAACCACAGAAATGCTGGTACCCGCTATGACATGTATGAAGACATGTATTCTGGATGTCTTGTAATAAAAGAAGTTTGTTCTTGCTAACAAATTTTATTAACACACAAAGCAATATTAAAACATGTTAATTTTCCAAGTCCTTTTTTAATTCCATTCATGACACTATTTGAATAAATATATAGTCACTGGTTGGATTTTACATATTGATAATGGTGATTTCATACTCTGGTTAACTTCCGTCTTAAGTTGGTCACAGGAGCTGACACAATTTGTATTTGAATTTTTGGAACATAAAGTATCCTCTGCGACGTGTACATCATAGAAAATACATTCTACAAATGTATGTCTTCTAGAGGCTTGGTTTCAGAGCTCCAGATAAGAATTCACAATTTGGGGTGTTTACCCACCATTTTCTTATTTAATTGGGTGATAAAGTTTTTTAATTGCATTATCAATTTCAATTCACCCCTCAAGTTGATATCAAATTGGGTTTTTCACCACCAAGCTCATTATTGTATTGGGTTTTTTCATCCACACAATATTGAATATTTAAGCAATATCAACCCCAGATGTTTTTCAATCTTAAATACATGTGTATGTTCCTTTCTTTGTATATGTGCTATATATATGTTTCATTAGGTTTATTCACTGACGAGCGATTGTAGGTTTAATTTGTGTCCTGTTTCAAACGTCTGCCAGTCAGTGTATTTTGTCACAACTTATATAAACTGTAAAAAACGGATATGTGTATTCACAGACACTCGTCTCAGATTCCCCCCCCCCCCCCCCCCCTCTATATACCTTTATATAAAAAATTCTGAGACGAATGCATGTGTGTGTACTCACTCATTAAATGTAAAATGGAAGAAATATATGATATAAACTGTATACTTGAATGTTTTTGTTTAATTTAATTTATATAAATCTGGGTCAAGCTGTCCCTCATTAGAACTTTTGGTTTCCGATGTTTTCCAACTACAATATTGGCCTTTCACTTTTTCCAACTGATTTTGTTTTTGACGAAACCCCGTGTTAATTAGCAATGTTCTCGATAAGGTACGCATAAACACCCGTGCGTTCTATGGAGGCTTCCTAATAACAATGGCTGATTCTTGTTATCATCATAAATTTCACTTAGCTATTCAAAAGAAGCTGAAAACATGCTTCTATTCAATATTTCTACCGGACTTTCACTTTTGTTTTAATTCAATGTATGTTATGATAAATCCCGAGCAATTCGAAAAAAAATATGATAACATGACACACACTAATTGGATAAACGCCGAGAAGATCGAAATGTTTTCAAAACCACGTGTACCTTTTGAGCAACGGAAAATTTAAACAGGGACCCATTTCAGCTTCTTGATGCAGAGATCTATTTTAAGAACGAAAGAAAATTTCCAATTATTATAAAAATAGATTTACGCGACGATTGTAAACAGATAAGGGTAAATAACGCAAACGGTAGCCAAAAAAAGGGTTGAGAACTCATGGTTTTGGCATATAATTGGGTTTTCCTTTGAATCAATTGGGTTATTGAACCCTGCAATGGTCAATTGCATTGGGTTTTTTATAATTTGTATTGCGTGATCACGCAAATACGCAGCTTATCTGGAGCTCTGTTGGTTTGATGCCTTTCCCTGTATTGCATGCAGTATGAGTGATCATTTTGTAAGTCAGAATATGGTGTTATTTCTTGCACTTTCACCACAAAGAAAGATATCTCCTTTCTTTAACTTTGGTATCCTGAAAATAACAAACAGTTTTTTTTGTAAGACTAAAATACATAAAATATAATTAGGGTTTCCCTGACATTTTCCATATTGTAAAATTATAATATTAATCCATTTAATTTCAAAGCAAAAAAAAATAAAACATTACATGTAAAACAAAATACACCTGCCTACGAATAAGAATCTAAAAATTACATTTTGTGGCAGTACTACATGTAGTACTAGTGCTGAAAGCTGTCAGAGCTGGCTAGAATTCAACTAAGAATTTCTGTAAAAAATATTAAGAGATGTGGCACACTGGTATGATTCTTGCACAAATTCTGAATATAATGATTTTAAAGTAATTCTGGTATCAGTATTATTTTATATATATAATAATGTAGTTACCTGATTATTATCCACAGCCATAATCAACTATTGTCTTCAGAGAGAAGTACTATTAGAACACAAAATATCTTTTACATCTGAAAGTAAAAAACTTAATGCAAATATGATGTTAAACAATTATACACAGTAACTGAAATTTTATTACTTATGTATCAAGAGTAAGCTACTCTCCTAGCTGTCCATATATAAAAGTTAAATAATTATTTTTTATCAAATAACATTTAGAGAATTTTGCAGTTATTTAAAAACGAATAATTGGGCACTCGTCACTGCTGGGTTATGTATAATCTGTTACTGTTTAAACCATGTAAACAGATGTAATTTACATGTTCACTATAATAATGCTGGGATATGTATTTTATTGAAATTAATCCAGTTATCGTGGGTTTTATGGTATACATATATATATATATATGTGAACATTAACAAAGTAACATGTGTACAGTTCATAATACATCACAAAAATAATAAAATACAAGACATGAATTTATGTAGAATATGGAGTCTGGTCAGAAAAAGTTCAGAATTTGAAATTCGCATTGGCACATTATGCATCCTATACAAGTACATAACCGGTTGATTGTATTGGGGTAACAAGGATTAATTATGTACTTTAGTAGACATGTATCCATCCCAGGAATATCAAATGTTTGACAATGACAACATAAAATTTTTGACTATTTTGGTATTTCTTTATATTTCAAATGATGAACCCAGACGCCCAAGAGTCCTGACAATACATGTATGAAGAGTTTTTAGTAGTGAGCTGAGAGTTTATAACTGCTCCTTGATGAAGTGCCTAATTTTACTTTCAAATTCTCCATACACATGATACATGTACAAGTGAATGGACCGTTCTTTTCTTTTTGGTTTTTGTTTATGAGTGTTAAGAAATTTTGTGTTTTGTGGAACACTTTTTGACAACAAAGCCTGAAAAATAGTCTTTCATAAAATTTCTTTTTATTCATTTGGGCAGTTAGAAAAATTATACTGGTCTGGGACGAGCGCTTGTGATTTATCCTGAAGACGGCAATATATATTTTTTATTTCATTAACTGAATTAGTCGCACTGAAATCGTACCCTTATCCCCCACACTTTTAAGCACATATATACACATATACAAATGTAACTATCTCCTGTTATCTTTGGTACAGGCCTGAGGTATACCAAAAAATTGGAGAGATAGACAGTCTTAATATATGATAGTAAGAACACGCCTTTAACTTGTAAATTAATAGTGTCCCTATATTTTCACTTTATACTACTGCCAAAATATGCCATCACCTATGACAGTAGCCTATGTGCAGTATGACTGTATGATATACTCAGTTGATGTGGTGAACGTAAGCAGGGTTCTGTTAACCCTTGAAGGCATAAAGGTATTTCCCAGTACATTTTCATATCAATTCTAAAGGAAAAAACAATACCTTTTGGTGTAAATGTCCATGAAACGACAGATGCAAACTATGTATTCTACTGTAAACATTTTTCATCACGTTCGAGGGACTACAGGAAGTTTATTTATGTTAATTTAGTCCCGCCCATTATAACGACTTTTGGATGCATCTAGTAACCGTAGCGGTATTTTGAAAATATGATAATATCACACGTTATCATTTTGCAAGCCAAATGTTTTAGAAAGTACAACAAATAAACTATGATAAATTGATATAATTACGTTTTAGTGTTGAAATCGACCGAATGCGGCACTTTATTGGTATTTTATCAGTCCACCCCTTTTTGCACTGACGCGGGACGATTTTTGACGGTTGGTCTGAAATAACCATTAAAATAACAACAACGAAAGCTCCTTACACTATATAGTTTATAATATACACGCACCACACACATTTATTTCATATAATTCAAGTTTCTGAACACAATTCCGTATTATGAAGGAGGAGATTGAGATTAAAGTTGTGGTTTGGACCGCCTATTTGGGCGGGATTATTACGATGACCAATAGATAAAATGCATAGTATATTTAGATGCAGACAATGTGTTTTGTAAAGATATAAACTGTTTTTTGAATCAGAACTGTCATAAACTTACACTTAAAAGTATCACATCATGTAATTTTGTTAAGGTATACTTACAAAACGTCGAGTTTATCTGGAAACGACATAAATTCAACTTGTAATGGTGGACGAAAAACGACTAACGAGATGCATCACGGTAAATCTCGCAAAATCTCATCATACGCAGCTTATTTCAATACAGGCAATGCAAATAGTTCACGAGATTCCAATCCTTCTCACTATACAAATCCTTGATCTGATAATTTAGAGTTAATTGACAATGAAATACACATCGCCATATTGATATCAGGAACATATAATGTTCCCAGTTGATGTATTTAAAAAAATCTTTTAATTTGTAATAAACGGATCTAGTTTTTTTTTCTTGTTCTGCTACATCTATCCGTGTTTCTGTGGAAATATCGATATATTTTATCTAACTCTAGTTTTTTGTCGAGCCTTCGACTTTAGTCGAAAAAGCGAGACATAGCGATCCTACATTCCGTCGTCGTCGTCGTCGTCGTCGTCGTCGGCGGAGGCAGCGGCGGCGTCCACAAATATTCACTATGTGGTTAAAGTTTTTGAAGTTTCAATAACTTTCTTAAACTATCCTGGATTTCTACCAAACTTGGACCGAAGCTTGTTTATGATCATAAGATAGTATCCAGAAGCAAATTTTGTAAAAATAAAATTCCTGTTTTTCCATATTTGACTTATAAATGGACTTAGTTTTTCTGCCAGGAAACAATACATTTACTCTGTGGTTAGAGTTTTTAAATTTTTAATAACTTTCTTAAACTATCCTGGATTTGTACCAAACTTTGTCAGAAACTTGTTTATGATCATAAGATAGTATCCAGAAGTAAATTTTGTAAAAAAAAAAATCTTTTTTTTCCGTATTTTACATATAAATTGACTTAGTTTTTCTGCCAGGAAACAATACATTCACTCTGTTGTTAGAGTTTTTAAGATTTAAATAACTTTCTTAAACTATCCTGGATATGTACCAAACTTGGACAGAAGCTTGTTTATGATCAAAAGCTTGTATCTCGAAGGAAATTTTGTCAAAATTTTGTACCTGTTTATCCGTATTTTACTTATAAATGGACTTAGTTTTTCTTCCAGTTAACATTACATACAGTATGCAGTTAAAGTTTTTAAACATTTATTAGATCCATAAACTATCCTAGATTTATACCAAACTTGGACAGAAGCTTCTTATAATCAAAAGATAGTATCGAGAGGAATATTTTTATTGATTTTTTTCCTCATTTTTGTTGAGCCTGCGATTAACAGCAAAAGTAGGCGAGACACTGGGTTCCGTGGAACCCTTACGAATTTTTTTATCAGATGACAAATGAGAGTGTGGATAACCTTTGATGTAGAATAAGAATTCGAGTTCCAGCTAAATTTAGAGTTAAAGTTCCAGTTTTATTTTTAGTTCGAATGTTTATTCGAGTAAAGAGTTCTAGTTAAAGCTCGAGTTCCACTTAGAAACTTCAGAGTTATACTGTAAGATAGAATAAATTCTGGTAAGAGTTAAAATTTTGAGATCTGAGATCGGATGAAATTAAAAGAAAGATTGCAGTTTCTATTTTCTGTTGGTGCACCTCTCTTTCTTGAATTGTATATTCTTTTATCACATTTATGTTTCAGTATGGTATAGCCTTTATACTTTTTTTGCCAAAACTGATTAATGATAGGTAATTTGAAAATAACTGATTGATTGTGTGTGCCACTTTCAGCACTCTGCTATATCATGTTGGCCGTTTTTTTTCTAAAGAACCAAGGTATCAAGAGTAAATCAGCTACCTTTGTATTAAACAAATGGTTGTCCTTTACAGTCATGATCGGAATCTGACAATCTCCCTATATCACTGTTTGTTGACAGGCAAGTGATCACATTAAGTGATCTGAACACGAACCTACATCTGAATTACTAGTTTTTGTTTTGTTTTTGTTTTCGTTTTTTTCTTGATTTTTGCAAAACTTTCAGTGGCAAATATTACATGAATATCAGCACAAATTTTTTTTCTATATGAGATGCATACTCTTTCACAAGACGGACCTTAATGTGATGGTTACAGATTAGCACTCTGAAAGACATGTTACTCTATACATAAATACATGTGTGTGTGTTAAATATTTCTCTAGTTGGAGTCTTGTAAAGCCAAATATACACTGTGGATTTTTTGTTGTTGTTGTAGGTAGCACGGTCACCAAAAGTACAAAAATAACTAGGCATAGTGTTTGATATTCCCAGATTGCTCTGACGTCTAGCGGCCTTATTTTTTAACTTGCTGGTCGTACACTTCGCTATAATTGACAGTTTGAAGAAATACTACAAAATATGATTTTTTTTTGTGCCCAAATTATGTAAGCCTGTACAAAGCATTAAAGGAAGATTGCGTATAATGTACTATATAATACGGTGCTAAATTTTCTTTGATGTCGACAGCAAGCAACCGATGTAAAATTTTGTATGCTTCTTTTACAGTGATGTTTACTGGCGTTATTCTTAAATAACGTTTGATATTTCAACAAATATGATAACTCTACGAATCACTCGTGTTCATGTGTTTGTTCCCCCCATACCCCACTCCCCCCCCCCCCCCCCCCCCACAAAAAAAAGAAACAGAGAGAGAGAGAGAGAGAGGCGTTTGATACCAACGGAACATCGAAACTCATTGTTATTATTTACATCCCTCTGTTGGACAGAAAACTACAAATTCCGGAAGCTGTACGCTTACATGCTGTTACTCTTGGTATATTGTTATTTTTTCCAGTATATTCCCACATACCGCATCGCGACAATACGCTGTCAACAGTTGGGTTACACTAATGACAGGACAATTGCCCGTATTGACCGGATGAGATATAAATAGTCAGAACTTTTTTGTTATTTGATAGATTATTTTAATATTTGAAGACCTTAGAAATATTAGACTATATTTTATGAAAATCTAACAAAAAAACAGTTGACCGGACGGATTTCACACTCACTGATGTACGCTTTACAATATTGAACTGATCGACAAAAAGTGTTACTAGTAATATCTCTTTTGTTTTACAATATTTTTTCATACAACTAAGAAATCTGCGAGATTAATAGTTTTCTTATATGAAAATTTAAACTTCATAGTAAAACAAAATGTTTTTCTAAAAAAAAAAAAGTTGAACGGACGGATTTCACATTCGCCGATGTACGCTTTGATTATACTGAAATGATCGACAAAAAGTGTTATAAATATCTCTTTTGTTTTTAAATATTTTTTTTCTTCGTGAAACTAAGAAATCTGCGAGATAAAAAAAATTGTTAATATATGAAAATATAAACTTTACAGTAAATAAAAAAAGTTTTTCTACAAAAAAAAGTTGAGCTGACGGATTTCGCTACAAATAATAAAGACCAGATCAACAAAAAATGTTGATATTTCTCATATCTAACAATATTTTTCGGTGAAATTAATAAACCTTTAAGAAAAATAATTGTATAAATGGTATTGTATGTAAATAACTCAATAATAATAATAATAATAATAATAATAATATCTTTATTTAAAGAGAGTAACTCATTTGAATTAAACCCAATCGTAAGGTAATTCAAGACCATATCAAGACCACTTTCGGCTATTTTTTTGCCATACATTTTGTGCGTTTCGAGTAGCATTTTCATTTTTTGCACTTAAATCAAAACGTCATTTGCTTTCTCTTGCTTTCGTGAACGTCCCTTTGAGCGGGCAGCCATTTTAGAAATTAGCAACCTTTACGACGGACTCGAAACGGCGACGTCATAATACGGACACGACACTATAGCGGCGCCGAGAACGATGCGTATAAACAATAGTGTGATTTCCCTTTAAGATTGTTTTCTAATTATAATCCTATAATTTCATGAAATTGACTTCATAATTATTATTAAATTAATGTACTTATTCTTTTTCGTCGACGTAACTCGATATGCGTGGTTTTCGCCACTAGAAAGATGTGCACTTTTTAAAGTTTATTTCATTCATTTGGTCAAATTTTCTAATCATTCTAATGCAATATTGTTACTCGTCTACACAAAAATCTTTTATTTCAATTCATTTTTGGCAAACAACTTTGAAAGTCTTGTTAGATTTGTCTTTTATGATCTCTCAGGTAAATATCAAAGAGAATCCAGAGTTTTGCATTTACAAGGACGGATGAGGATTTAATATATACTTTATGATATATTCACTTGTACTTTACCGGTAGGCTGTCTTCGTGTAATTTATGGTTTAAAGGAATACGAATACTTTATTTCTCATAAAACTTCAATTACTAGTTATCGAGAACATACATAAACATAACTATAAGGTAAAATTATTACATGCATGTGTAAACGATACAATTAAATTAACTTTTACATTTATAACTTTTACATAGTTTTTCTAATATTACAATATTTGATGAGTTAAACTGTTGATCAACTTTAAAGATATTAGGGTTTGACTAACAGCAGTTCCGTAAAAATTTCCTTCTTTCTATAGTTTAAATGTTCTACAATTCATAATGTAATGGTACTCGTCACCAATGTTGTTTGTGTCACAGAGACGGCAGATTATGTTTTCTCTCTGTAAATCCTGCCACCTTCCAGACTCAATCGGCAAGTGGTGACTACCACATCTATATTTGCATAATATACAAAATG